GGTTAATCTTGGACAATATCTGATGATCGACTTTTTTAAATGAAACCAGAGAGCGTTGACAGAGAGGAGAAGGAACTGAAAATATGGATGGAGGACAACAGAGCTGCTTCATGGAAGATGAACCTCAGCTTAGCCTGTTAGCCTTTGCGCTAGCGCTGACACTATATTGCCTTATATGTATTAGCTTTGTGCTAGAGCGACAAACAAGCTAAACTGAGGTCCTCCATTCATATTTTCAGTTGCAGCTGAGTCATTTTTATGTTCATGTGGATGGAGGACTTCAGTGATGAGAAGAGAATGTGTAGCTATATGGTGATAGCATCGGGGCTAACGCTAAAGCCAATCAGAGAAGAGAAGGTCGATTTTCTGCGCAGTGTCTGCTAGTTAGTTAGCAATAGCAGTGGAGGAAGTGAATGAAGTTGAAGTCTGTGTTGATAAGGCTTCAAATTAAATWAAATTTGTCTGACAAAGCAGCAGCTCTTATTTACAGTCGTCTCGTTTGGCTCGGTACTTCTCTCCTCTCAGTAGGGYTGTTTACAGCGCACACGATTTCTGGTTAGCCTCTTAGCTTAGCCTCCTTCACAGTGGAGCTGGCACACATACGTCGCAGCCAACCGATCCAATCATTTTAAACTTCAGCAGAGGCCACGCCTCCAGCAAGAACTGCTTCTCTATAGCTGAGAGTCCAGACCCTCGTATGAAGCAAAGTGAAGGACAAGGGGCTGGTTTTAACCAGGCTAGTTGTTTGGTGTACCTCAGGGCTTCGCTTTAGTTACCCAGGAGTTTTGAGAAAGCAGCAGATATTTTTTCAATGTAGACGCAGACTCATCAAGGGCGCCTGGAACTGGAAATCCGGTCTCGCCACAACTCTGTTCATGGTCCACACGGTCTCTGTGGTTTTCGATAAAACTTGATGTGGRCAGGATCATCGCAGCGAGGCCACCTGGAACTCCTGTGATGTTATTTTACTATTAAACACAACGCAGAGACGAGCAAATAAGGGAAATAAAGTGAAACTCAGTGACTGAGTTCAGCTGGAACATCTCTGAGTGATTTTTATGAGAAAATTCATAAATTTTTTACATTTTTGTATTTTGTGTTTCCATCAGTCACAGTTCGGTGAGGTTCTGGCTTTAGTTACATTAATAGTTGACAGATTCTCCGGGTGAATTTTCTGTTTTTAATGACTCAAACTTAACGGTGTGATGCTTCCAGTTTGTAGTGCTGACCCTCTGCAGGGAGGGAAGGGCAGGTAGATCTGCATGTGAGTTCAGCTCCTCGACTTTTAAAAGCTTTGATCTCGTCAGTTCATCAGCAAAACAAGAAAATAAACTGAGTTTAGTTTTTAAGCTCTTAGGAGTTGTTGTACAAATTAGGACACTTGAAATAAATATTCTCTTTAATGAAGATAAAGAAACTGGAGGAGGAACCAGTAGCGTTTTATTTTGGAAAATCAAACAAGGAACATGTGTTTCCTGTCAGTGTTGATGGAACTGAGTGGCTGAATTCCCCCTCAGCAGCTATCTAACTTCTTCAGCTCCTTTCAGCTCACTTTGCTGCTCTTTTTGGCTCTTTTTTACTCCATTCGGCTCACTTTTCAGCTTTCAGCTCATTCTACAGCTCCTTTTAGCTCGCTCTTCGGCTCCTTTCAGCTCACTCTTCGGCTCCTTTTAGCTCACTCTTCGGCACCTTTTAGCTCACTCTTCGGCACCTTTTAGCTCACTCTTCGGCACCTTTTAGCTCACTCTTCGGCACCTTTTAGCTCACTCTTCGACACCTTTTAGCTCACTCTTCGGCTCCTTTT